TCTTAAAGTTGCCAAGGTTGGACACCCCTGCTGTATACTGTGCTGGAACATCAGTAGCATCTACTGAGGGAGATGGGTGGTTCAGAAATAGGAAACATAAATACATAAATCTATGGAGAGGGGACGGGGAGGAGACAGAGAAGGATAGATGATGGAAGGGATGTGTGTGTATTGTTGGGAGAATGGATCTTTTGATTACCTGGACGAGAAGTCATTAACCAAGGACTACCTGTATTTCAAATTTTCTTTGGAAAGAACAGCTACAGCTTCAGCAGAACTTCCAAAACGTGATGATTTGTTTCAAATTGGAAACAAACTTATTTAGTGCTTATAAAAACCTCACTTTATGAAAACTCATAAAAACTTACTTTTCACTTAAATTTAACATACTATAGTGAGATTTTCTCTATAAAAAGCAACAATTCTTTTCATTACTTGTTACAAACTGTTTACACTTGACGAGGCTGAGAGAATGGACCACTCACCGAAAATTCATCCGCAGCTAACATTTTTCCTGAAAAAGAAAAACAATGATTAGCTTAATAAATTGCTGGCTGCATTTGTGATCTTCCCAGATGGCTTCGGCAAAGTTAATGGGGAAGCTAGATTCAATTAATGACCCTTGCAAAAACTGTCACAAAAACAGGCACGCTCATTTAATGGCTGCGTGACTTAGCGGCGAAGATTCCAGTTCCAAATGTGGGTACTAAGTTGAGGACTACCTATCATTTAGCCACACAAGCCATATGCCAAATATCAAGGTTAGCCAGTAATGCTAAAATCTGCTTCTGTCATTTTTCGCATGAGAGGAATTCCTCCCTCCCCACTTCCATATTTACTTAGGAATTCTACTGAATCTGGCTTTGGCTTCCTGTGCTGAAAGAGGAAACCAAGAGCCTCAGCCGTATCATTCTAAAAGAACACATGCTGGTAAAAAATTACTTTGCCTCTCAGTTATGGAAAAGCTAAAAATAGAACAATTTTCAGCAGCAGTAACTGCTACTCTACTAGTCATCATTGTTGGCACCACACCTAGGCTAGGAATGGGGAAAGATAAATATAACCAGACAGCTCTTGCTTGCTGCTTATTAAACCTAGGTTAGACTTAGCTGTGACCAAAAGTGGCACAAAGCTTATTGCTCATCTCACCCTCAGGAAGCAGCTTAGAAACAGGCAATACTACACCCACTGAGAGAAGACAGCAACACTGAAAGTCAAGTAATGGATCAAGAGCTATATGGAGAGCCATCATACTATACTACCTGCATGATTCCTTTCAATACTATACTATTTTATGGCAGAACATAAAAGGAGTCTGAAGAAACAGCATGAATTAGGCAAGCATATACAAATATGTGAAGCCAGTATAATGACCATGAACTGAATTATCACAGTTGATGAAACCAATTATCTCTTTAAAATATCTGTTTCAATATCAATACTATTTTATTTTATATATTTATTTCAGAAAATTTATATTGCCACCTATTCGCACATGGTGACTCAAGACGGCTTACATGAATATAAAAACATTTTACTTATTTATTTAATGCATTTATAAGCCCACCCAACTCAAACTGGGATTCTAGATTCTAGTTAGTGTAAACAAAAGTATACAGTAACGACAAAAATACATTTAAAAAAAAAGAGCAACCTACTACATAAAACGTAGCATGCAAAATGGCAGCCAAACGTGATAATGAAATAACCAGAAGAGATTCCATTAAACACCATCCAGCTGGCACTTGGATGGTGTTTATTGGAATATATTTTGGTTATTTCATTATCAAAAAGCAGCTTTTTTAATGGCTTTCCTAAAGGCAAGTAGTTGATATATCAGAGGTAGCTTGTTCCAGAATACAGGGACAGCCATTGAAAACACGTTTCCTAACTTCCGTAAGACAATATAATATTTAAATGTGGGAACCTGGAATATGCCTGCCCCATGGGAGTCTGTGGGATAGGCAGGTGTTCTTGGGATAAAATAATCCCACAAGTAGCTCAGTTTTATTAAACATATTAAACACCTAAACCCAATATTTAACACACTATACAATTAATGTCCTATAAATACCTTATTTTAATAATTTATATTAAAATTGGCAGACATAGAGATAACACACAAACAGAAATCAAGGAAAATATAAAAGAAAAAAATACAGAGAGAAAAAAAATTAAAAAAGAAAAAAAAATCCCACAGGAAGATTTCTTACCTTTTAGATTAAAAATCTTCATATATGTTTAATGGGATTTTAAATAACCCACAGGAACGATTCTTATAATTAATGTTAGAATCTTATTTCCAATCCATGTGGCCCTTAGTCTGTTTATAATTTTCCAAAAATCACTCTTTAATCACCCTTTTGCTGTTTATTTCAAAGTAAAAAGAAAACTAAGTCCTTAAATGCATATGAAACTTTTTTAGCGGAGAACAGAAGGAGAATCACCCATTATAATGAAATCTGTTGTTCTGAAGGTTCTTAATATAAAAAAAAATAGTTAACAAGTGATTTCCAGAAAAGTGGTTAAACACAATGTCCATTTGAAGGCTCCAAACCACGGCTTAGGCAAAGCTGACTTTCCCTTAGTTTCCACAGCAATAAAACCTGTCAGAAGCTGTTTTATAGTATCTTCACAGGGTGGTTCTGTATGGAGTACTTGTGGGTAATCCCAGGACCCCATCTTTATCCAGAGAGGAATTTCAAGATGCCAATCTGGTTGCTGGCGATTATTGGCTCCACTAATAGCAAAGCTGTCTTCAGTCCTCCATTTTTTTCCTCTGGAAGTTCAATGTCCTATAGATCCCTTAAAGGTTACTATTATAATAAAAGAATGATTTTGCTCTGCTCACAGTGTCACCATAACAATCACAAAAAACTCTGGTGTAATCAGAACTTCTAGCACAGAGGTCCCCAACCCCCAGCCCACTACTAGGGGCTTGTTTGAAACCAGGCCACACTAGCAATGGACAAGTGTGCGTGGTGAAGTTGTGCTCACACAAGTGTAACTTTGTGTGTGAGTTTAAGTGCCCTCTGTCTCCATTCGTACTAGTGGAGGACATGTGCACCTGCCACTCTCATACACTTACTCTGTGCCAGGCCAAGGTGGAAAGATGGAGAACCGCTATTCTAGAACATATTTTTATTTTCCCAATGACTGACAAAAGACAACTAAGAAAACTATTTCTAAATCTTATACCATTCTTCTCATTAGCTAACTGATTAGCTGATAAAATCCCATGTAATTCAAAGAGCACACAGTTAAGCAGGATCAACTGCCCTATGGCTTATATTCTTAAAGTGTAGACAGCATCATTTTGCTTAAGGAGATGGATACTAAAATATAGAAAAATATTAGCAGGAAAGCTGAAAGATGCAAGGAATAAGAAATCAGCAGAAACAAAATTGGTATAATAAAACAAAACCAAACAATGAATTTTAAAAGAGACAAGTTCAGAATTGTTTACTTTAAAAATCAAATGCATGGATGTGAAATGGGGAAATGTCTTACTAACAATATTAGCAAAAGAAAATATTGGAATAGAAACTGGTTGCAAGCACAATTTTAGGTTGAAACAAGTATCATTTCTTGCAAAAAGCAAACTTTCATTTTATTTTGTTTTAGTCAGATCCAATCTCAAATAATTGTATTCAGAAGGAAAGAAATTGGAATAGATGCCAGGACAAAAGGCATGATCATATACCATATTTTTCACACTACAAGACATACTTTCCCGTCTGCCCAAAAAGTGGGTGGAAATGTCTGTGTTTTATAGAGCGAATATTGCGGCAGGGGAAGTGGTGATAGCCAGCAGCAATCTGCACTGGCAGCGAACAGCGGTGATCGGTGGCAATCCCCACCGCCTAGAACAGCTGATCGGCAGTATTCCAGGAGGCCAAACCACCCGCCAATCAACTGCTCGGCATCAAAGGCTCCAGCGTTCCCCGGTGGTGGTGGCGGCGGCAGCTCAGCTCAGTTCACTGGTGGTGGGTGCAACAGAGCGGAGGCCTGAGGAGCCACATGCTGGGGCTGCGATAACGTGCTGAAGGCTGTTTGCTGCAAGGACACAAGCCAGATGCATACCGGATGGATACTGGGAGGCAGAGGCAGATTTTTTTGTGTTTTCCTCCTCAAAAGCTAGGTGCGTCTTATGTCCCAGAGCGTCTTGTAGTAAAAAATACAGTACCCAGAAACCAGTGGTGGGATTCAGTTGGTTCACAGCAGTTCAGGCAAATTGGTTGTTAAATTACCTCCCCCCACCCTCGCTATCAAAGTATATCCTGGGCACTGCGCTGTGCTGCAATGGAGAAACGGGCAACGGAGCAGCCGGCATGAGGGAAGGAGAGGAGCAGGGAGAAGGAAGAGGTAAAGTGGCCTTCTCCTTCCCTCATGCCCGTTTCTCCATTGCAGCACAGCACAGTGCCCAGGATCCACTTTGATAGTGGGGCGGGGGAGGGTAATTTAACAACTGGTTGACCCAGGGTCAGTTGGCCGTCATGGGAGTGTTGTCCTGCATGTGCGACGGAACTGGAGGATAGAGATGGGCCATGCCTCCCATAACAGCCAATCTGACCCTGGGTGAACAGATTGTTAAATTATTTGAATCCCACCATTGCCAGAAACCATGTGTTTAATGAAAGGATCACTTCCTGATATCTTCCCTTTTAGTTTTCCTTTATCAGAAGAGGCTGAAAGAACTTTTCTGACAGTGAGAACAACCAACCAATGGAACAGCTTGTCTTCGGAAGTTGTGAGAGCATCTTTCAAGAAGCTTTCAAAGAGAGATTGGACTGCCATCTGTCAAAAATGGTGTAGGGTCTCCTGCTTGGGCGAGGGGGTTGGACTAGATGACCTACAAGGTCCCTTCTAACTCTGTTAATCTAATCTAAAAAACTGGGTATATGCTTAGAATTTAAAACAAATGGCTTAGGGGAGATATTATAGCACTTTTCAAGCGCTTGAGTATCACACAAAAGAACAATATTTCTGTGAAAGTCACAAAATAAATGTTTTTAGTTATAGAAAGACAGTTTCTGGTATCTCCAATAATAAGAACAGTTCAATAATTATAGAAGAGTATGAAGATAACCCTGAAGAAGAAACGCAAGAGAAGTTATGTGAACAGCACTCAGCCATGAAAAAGAGAAGGGGATGAGAAACAAATTCTGTGAAGCTTTCAAGATTCCAATACACATAATCCTCACCTAATAATAATTGCAATCAGAATTTAAGCAATGCAGATATAAAGCACATTGTGTGACTGCATCACTTGGCAACAGCAGTTCCTCATTACTGATGTTAAACAAATCACTGCAAGTTGTTAAAAAAGCTCATGTGACCATGACATTTAGGAGGGAGACTGGCCGAGGGGGGAAGGAGACAAATGGGGAATTAGTCTAGAATCTTTATGGGCAAAAGAGGGTGAAATTTGAGCTCTCTTGAATGCCATTAAATCTTATGTAGTCTGACCCAGGTACAAACCATTAGTCTGAAGATTCCTGTATATAGCTTGAGCAATAGAAGTTAATTCTTCAACTGTGGGCCTGCTGTTCCTGCCAGACACTTATGACTTCCTGCTGGCTTCCCCATTGACTTTGCTTGTGGGCAGTGAAGGTTGCAAATCACAATCTGTGAGATATTGCAACAGTTGGAAATATGAGCTGGTTGCCAAGCACCCCAATTGCAATTATATGACTGTGGGGGCATTGCAATGGCAGGAACTTCAAGAATGAGTTGTAAGTACCACTTGTTTATATCTCCATTATAAGTTTGAACAATTGTGAACGAGTGGTCAAGTAACTGAGGACCATGTGTAATATATCCTACAATAAAGTTCCAGCAGTTCTTGGCAAGCAGTTTTAGGCTGTTTCAACTTAAGTATAATTGCTTTATGTGAAAGGAACCAAAGATGCTGGTGATAATTTCAAAATCACTGGAGGCTAATAGTCTAGTTTATTTGACTCTGGGAATGATTAAAAAGATTCCAAAGAAATTGAAACAGGTTCAGGCAGAGAACAATGATTATTAAAGGAGTAGAACTAAACCCTGTAAAAAGAGGTGGAAGAAGCTGGTATACCATCTTTAGTTTTGCAAAAAGACAATTGAGGAGGATGGCACTCTTACATTCCTGGCAGGATTTCACTGAGAAAGTCAAGATTTGTTCACTTTCATTCCAAACTAAAGAATAGAGAAAAGTGGATTTAAGTCACAGAACAGTGATTCCAATTGAATGTCAGACAAAAAAAAAAAATCCCCTTTTCTAATAGTAAGAATAACTCAATAAAGTTGCCCAGAAGAGTGAAGGTCTCTCAAGTGGGCAGATCTGATGGTCTCTTCCAACTCTGATTCTAAAATACACTCCTTCTCCAAAGAAGCTCAAACATATAATGTAGAGATACCAGGGGGTTCAGTCTCTTGAAAATGTGTATATGTCCCGTTTTCTCAGCCTACTCAGAACTAGGTTTACTCTTACAAAAGAAACCTGCTCTTTTGAAAACACAACAGAAGAATGTGACAAAGAATTGCTCTCTGAACGTCACCAGAGAGCTGTTAAAGCTTGGTTTTAAATATCCAGACAATTACAAGATATAGGAGAGATATAGAATAATCTCTGCTATTTAGCAGCCATCTGGAATTTTGTGGTCCAAATATATTTATATAGCCCCATAATTCAGAGCTAAAATCCACCTTTCTTACTAAAATACCTAATTTGAACATAGTTTAGTAAATCACTTTCAACTGCAGCCAGAACTTTAAAAGATACTTTTGCTAACAGGAAGACCATATTTGCACAATACTCTATCCCAGTTAAGAGAACCATAATTTACTGAATTTGCCCAATACCCTGGATTTGTACAATACACTGCATTACAAAGAATATTGTACATGGTGTGAACCCAGTCAAATAATCCTTATTTTATGGAGCATTAAATTACACTTGGCAACATTTTCTCTTCTTGATCCATGCTAACAATGTTCCATTTTCCATCCAAAATATATATTTTTTCCCAATCCGTACTGCTCAGAATGACAAGATCAAGCAATGGACCTTTGCCTAATACTCAAACTTCAGGAATGTGGTTTTGTGTTCTGCGAGTGGTGGTGTTCCATGACTTTGTCATCTTTGACACATCATCAGGAAATTCCCCGATATAATTTATTTCCTTTACTGAGGACATCATAAATACCCACTATTTAGATGAGCATCTTTTAGAGGGCTCTTTAAGAATCTTGAATGAGATTACTGGGCCTCCAAACAGCGAAAGACTTATATTATCAGCACAAATGGTAAAAGACTTTACATTTTTAAACCCCAGAATCAAAGGAAAGTCGTGTTGCACAGAAGCAGCCACCTCAAAGTGCTTAAAGGCAGCACAAAGGAAGTGTTTGGGTGCCACTTTCATTAATTGAGCCTTCATAGCTTATAACAGGGGTTCCCCAAACCTGGCCCCTTTAAGACTTGTGGACTTCAACTCCCAGAATTCTCCAGCCAGCTTTGCTGGCTGGAGAATTCTGGGAATTGAAGTCCACAAGTCTTAAAGAGGCCAGGTTTGCAGACCTCTGGCTTACAAAGTGCAATATCCCAGTTACCTATGCACCACAGCAGCAACGTATTAAAAAGCGTTAGGATGGGTGCATGAACCAAGTCAACTGCTGCGAAAGCCTAACCATAAAGCTTGAGATAGGTCTATACGAGCCGGTACAACTAACCAGCAAAAACCATCGCCCTCCTCACAGCTTCCTTCCCACGTTACGGGTCAAGCAGCCCGGATTGAAACCGAAAGCTCCTTTTCAAGGTGTGTTTGCTAGCCAGGCGTGGACCAAGAAGCTCTTCGATCCTTGAACTGTGACCAGCCTTTCGGGAGCCGCTGCAACTCACCTGAAGCCGAAGCCCGCGGGAAACCCCCCCCACGGGCGCTTCCGCGAGAACCCAGAGGGGAGGGAAGAATCGTCCAACTGTCCGTTTAGAGGAAGCCCCGCCGCACCAGAGGCCAAGAGGGCGAAAAGGAGAGCGAGGCCTCCTCCTCCCTCTTTCCCTCCGCCCCTCGTTGAGCCCAAACCCGAGATAGAAAGAAGGAAAAAGGGCAGCCCAGGCCCGCATCGACTTACCTGGGCCGCGCTGAGGGAGCTTGACGACAGAAGGTGACCACCACGGCGAGAACAGCCGCCGATCCTTGCTTGCTCTCGCTTGTTCCTCTCTCTCTCTCTCTCTCTCTCTCTCTTTTCTTAACCAAGCGGAAGTGAGCGTTGTTGTCACTTTATCACTGCATCCGCCTTCCCGGAAGACGGGAAAAGGAGGAACCCTGATCACGTGACAAGGTCGCCCGCTAACAGGCTTACGCGATTCTATTGGACGGGTCCGAGAGGTCGCGTGATCTCAACTCTCCATTCCCGAGCCTTGGCTCTTCCCGCGACCGAAATTAGGCCTGCGGTTGGGGGCGTGACGATCCCTTTTCCTTCTCCAGGTGCGCGGCCTTCTTCCTCCTCTTCCTCCTCCTCCTCCTCCTCCTGAAGTGGGTTGTCTTCCCTCCCACCACAGCATCTCCTAGTGGTAGGAGGAGAAAACTACACGTTTGGATTCCTAAAGGTGCTTTTTTTTTTTTTTTCAAGAGGCAGCTGGACTTTCTGGTTTTTCTTTGATGACGTTTCGCTTCTCCTCCAAGAAGCTTCTTCATCTCTGATTCAGTGGTGGGGAATGGGAGGATTTATGTGCCTTGCCGGCAGCTGATCATTTGCATTCTTTTAGCGAGTCCTTAACGCCACCTGGAGGTTTATCTGCGTCCTCAGGGTCACCTGAGTGGTGGGTGTGGACTGCGGAGCCTTCTTGGAACTGTTGAAAGGACTGTGTTGTAGATTGGAGATAGATGATGTCATATCCCTCACCCTCTGTTGAGAGAGGGCTGTTCAATTTTGGCATAGATGGCCTCCTTGACACCTCTTGCAAACCAGCGGTCCTCTCTGTCCAAAATGTGGACTCTGCTGTCTTCAAAAGAGTGGCCTTCGTCTTTTAAATGCAGATGGACTGCTGAATCTAGTCCTCATGGTTTTATTCTCCTATGTTGTGCTATGCATTTATGAAGTGGTTGTTTAGTTTCCCCAATGTACAGATCTGCACAAGGCTCACTGAATTGTACTGCATATACCACGTTGCTCAGTAAAGCACCTTTGGGACAACCGTGACCTGGACCAGAGGTGGAATTCAGCAGGTTCTGACCAGTTCTGGAGAACCGGTAGCGGAAATGTTGAGTAGTTCGGAGAACTTGCAAATACCACCTCTGAATGGAGATTTTACAGTATCCTTCCCTGGCCACGCCCACAGAACCGGTAGTAAAAAAAACTTGAACCCCACCACATACACGTTGGATTAAACTGGATTTGCGTTTTGCACTTTGCTAGCGACAGGAGAAGGAAAGCTTGGTTTCCTCGTCTCAGTGGGACTGAAACTCCAGTTCCCTGGAGAAATCCATTATCAAGAGTCAAAAGGATTGGCACAGGTTGTTGGCACCTCTATGCTGAGAATCACATTTTCGTATTTTGCCCCAATACAGAATAACAGAGTTGGAAGGGACCTTGGAAGTCTTTTAGTCTAACTTCCTGTTCAGGCAGGGGATCCTATACAATTTCAGACAAATGGTTGTCCAGTCTCTTCTTAAAAACCTTCAGTGATGGAGCACCAACAACTTTTGAAAGCAAAGTTGGTTAATTGTTCTGTCAGGAAATTTCTCCTTAGTTCTGAGTTGGGTCTCTACTTGAGATTCAACCATTATTTCTTGTCTTGCCCTTAGGTGCCTTGGCAAATAAATTGACACCCTCTTCTCTGTAACATCCTCTCACATGCTGGAAGACTGCTATCATATCAACACTAGTCCTTATATGGCTTGAAGTCTAGTCCTTAAGAGCACATAAACAATCTTGAAAAGTGATGACTAAGAGATTGATTTAAGATACCCACCGATGAAGCATAGGGCAATACACCCATTTTTTCACTAGTAAAATTAAAATAGTGATAGGTGGAAATTCCAGTGAATTTTAAAGCCAACTTAAACAAGACTTAGAGTCTGCAGTATATTTTGAAGTCGGACTTCTGTGACACTTATCCATAGATATTTTACCCATGGTTTACAGAATCTGTTTGCAGGACATACATGATCTGACTTCAGGTAATACATCAGAGGTAGAGGTGATTGACACTGTTGTACAAACCCAGCAAGAATGAAGAAAAGGATGCACAACAGTAACTCTCAAAGTCATATTGAGCAGGTTGTTGGTGTGGGTGAGTATATGTAATGGGCACCTATAAAGTACAATGAATAAAACTTTCCTCTAAATCATTTATATTGTAGGCTGCATTTCCTAAAATGTATCAATCTGAGAACAAGATCAATATTGAAAGGCTAAACTATTTAGAGAATTTAAGCATGACAAAAGAAAAAAAAAAGAAATATGACCCAAACTGGAGCATTCACTCATGCTACTTTGTCTTTTACATAGGGGAATAATAATGGCATGCATCCAATTGTCAGACAGATCCAGTCTCCACAAACATATTAAACAAGTTCCACAGCCCTTCTATAAACAATCAAATGCATATTCTACTATTTTTCCATTATGTTGTCTAACCGTATAGCTCTATAATTTTTGAACATTCTAACACTATTGAGTATTGGATAGACTACAGAATGATAAAATAAAATTGGAGAGTTCTTGCAGATGTTTCATTACCCAAACTAGGTAACATCACTGATGATGTTATCTAGTTTGAGTATTGAAATGTCTGCAAGAAAACAACCAAGGTCAGAGGGCACCAAGGACCCCACAAAATTAAAAATGATTTGTGGGAATAAGAATACAAAACAAACTTTTAAAAATACAAATATTTAAAATAGGATTATTTATCTTAAGTATATTTGTACTTCAAGTGACTTATTTATCCTCTAGCTCAGGGGTGTCAAACTCGCTGCCCATGGGCCAGATGCGTCATGTGCTGGCCCTGCCCCTGCCCGGTTTAGCAAAGCAGGAAATCCTGATACGTCATGTGACGCCACCGTGACAACATGAGTTTGACACCCCTGCTCTAGCTGGTCCTGGCACCATCTGCCGGAAAGAACCCACAATAACACCACTTTTTGAAAATACTAGTTCATAAAAACTTAGGGAGTCCCTGCCATCGTAGTAGAGGGTAGCATAACTATACTTCAAGTCATGAACGGAACCAACTCGGAGTGAATGAGCTAGTTAAGAGAACTAGCTTAAGTTAAGAGAACTACTTTGAGAACTTTGCTACATTTTTTTTAAAGATATGCATGATAATTAAACCCATCAGTTCAAAACAGATGAATTTTCCTGCCCTCTCAGAACGATGTTACAGTCTCTTTACCTCACAGAAATTGTGTGCTGAAACAATCTCTATTAGAATATATGGGTCGGTCTGACCTTGCTAGAAGTTCTGTTTTATGTAACGAATCCTTCTTTGTTTGAAAGGATGTTCAGTTCAAGTCCAAAGAGAGAACAAAATCAGATGTTGCAACACAGAAACAGTAGATTGAATCACAGCTGTAGATTGAATCACAGCTGTACAGCATGCTGCTTTAGGAATTTCTCTAGCACCATTTAAAACTATTCACATTTATTTATTTTGAATTTCATTGAACCCATTTCACCAAGTGACTGTGGATGGTGAATAAAATGTAAAAAATTAAAAAAGACAATTAACGCCAATATTAAAATATATAGTAACTGAGAATAAAGCACGGAGATAAATTGGTGGTTATCACTCCATCGGAGGGCAGCAAAGATTTATCTGACTCTGGGAACTCGTGGTTGATGTTGCTGGTCAGAAGGAGTTTATTATCAGCAGCTTAGTGACTTTTGGTGTTTTGATGCTCTTAGTAGAGCTCGCCAAGTTTCCCTCCTGAGGGTGTTGTCTGAGCAAAGGACAAGTTGTTTATTATTGGGAAGACAGATACTCCACACCTTGATTGTGGCATTGTGGAAACTATCAGTCATGTGTTGTGGGATTGTGATCAATTATTCACAGAAGGGGAAGGTATTTTTTTCCCCTGACTCATTCTATTGGCTCCTCTATTTTATCACTACCGAGACTGAGGATCATCCTTACTGATCATTAGCTACTAATTGCAAAAATATTCTTCTGTCTGCCTGCCTCCATGAAAAATTGAAGTGTTAATTGATAATTTTCTAGATCTAGAAGGTGGTACTAGTGGGACGTTCTGGCCTGAGACTGCATTTATGCACTTTTTTGGTACATTATGGAAGTGGTTTGCTACTGTTTATTTCTGAAATGCTCTCTTGACATCATACTCTAGTCAACAATTCTAGAATTTCCAAGGTATCTCAATCATTATCATGGGGTGTGGGTGTGGGTGAATTCCTGTTACGGTAATTTCCGTGATAGTCAAGATCAGCTAAATGCTGCTACCTTTGGAAGCAGTGTCCCTAATTATATTGCGCTTATATTTCATAATCTCTCTCTTATTCCTCATGAAGTGTTTCTGACTGGGAATTCTGGGAATTGGTCCACACATCTTAAAGTGGCAGAGGCTGAGAAACACTGCTTTAATAACAAGAACTGCTAATGAAGACTGTTAAATTTTTTTCCCATTGAACTGTTTTCATTCTTATCACCTTTGGTAGCATATTGTACCCTATGACTATTATTAAGTGTTGTACCTTATGATTCTTGATTCTTGACGAATGTATCTTTTCTTTTATGTACACTGAGAGCATATGCACCAAGACAATTTCCTTGTGTGTCCAATCACATTGGCCAATAAAGAATTCCTATTTCTATTCTATTCTATTCTATTCTATTCTATTCTATTCTATTCTATTCTATTCTATTCTAAATATAAAAAGCTGAAACGTCCACCTTCACCATTTTCCCACCTGTCCTTCATGCTGCTTCTGATAAGGGTAACAGATTCATTTGTCCTCTAATTCTTCCAATTCTCGGGGCTATTAATGTAATGCCTACCAGTTCTCTTCCTATCTGTGAAGAGAAGTTGGAAAAGAGTATTTGTAAATTAGCAACCAGGGTCCCTTGGGGAGTTTGATGGACATTTTAGTGATAAATTGAAAGGAGGAGATTACCAGCTTCCTGCACATGAGCCCTGCTGCGAGTATCACAAGAGGCTGGAGCGTTTTAAGAGTAGGCAATTGGTCCAAATTAGCTTGCTCAAGTGCCTGCTAGCTAGCTAAAGGGGAGGGGGAGGGATAGAACTGGCCCCCTGCCCTGCTGTAGTATCAGGCAGTGCCCGGAAAAGAAGCTTTCC